TAATTATTAATGCAAATCACATTACAAATTTCAAATTTTATGATATAAATCAGTGGTTCCCAAGCTTCTGTGCACCGCAAGCATTTTCTAAAGGTACCGTAGTCTACGGCTAAAAATAAGTAATTTAAAATGAATATAATTGTTTTCTCCAAAAATTCATTATTTATCACTATTTTTATTGTCACGTCTTTCATGGTATTCACAGCAAGGCACCTTGGCAATATTTAGTCTAAAAAATAGCACCACAGTAAAAAATTTGGAAACCAATGATATAAATTATTGCATGGATAGATATTGTAAAATAAGTTTAAAATGATTTTAATAAGTATATATAATAATAGATATTTATTGAGGCATATAGAGTAAGTTGCATTTTGTTATATATATTTAACCATTGGTTAAATATTCATTAATTCGTGTTAGAGTTTTTTTTCCATACACCAATTAGTTATAATATTTTATACAATGGATATATAAAATCTGTAGGCACAGATATTATATTAAAACTAATTGGAAAAAAAATATTTAGCATYAATCAATTTAGAATCTCTTTTTAAATCTTACGAACTTTATACATATTATATTATTATATTGTAATTATATGTATTTAAATAGAGTCTATATTATATATGATTACTATAAGTATATCTTTTAATTTATTTTAAGTCAAAATATATTATAATTTATATCAGTTGAATAAGTATCATGACACTTTATTGTTGATTTTTCAATTTATAAAATTTATTTATTTAGATATATTGTTTTTAACAAGTTTAACTTGTTAAAGGTCTACGCCTCATTAATGTCTTAAACGTTTAAGATAACTTCCTGGAATTGAAACAATAAAGATTTAACCATAATAACTGAAGAGTGATAAGCCTAAACCAAGTCTAAATTAGAGGAGATATATTCACAATACCATCTCATAATATTCAATTGAACAAAATTAGGCATAGAGAAATAATGATTTGCTATAATAAATAAATCGTTACTGTAGAAAAAAAAAATGTTTTTTTAATTAATCGAGTCTTGCATAAATAATTGCACTGTTAATTGTTTTGCATAATTTAAATTCACTATTTATTAACCATCATACAGTTGATTAATCATGATTAAATAATTATACTGAAAAAACTGGTAAAAATGAAGAAGAAAAATCAAGTGAATTTATTATAAATGATAATAAAACCAACATTTTATGTTTAGCAAAAAGACACTAGGAATGAGTTGATCACCYCGGTTCGTTAGCACCCTTCAAAGATACTTTCACCACCTATATATGCTGTGCTTATATCATAAACGGCAGCGATCGACAGATGTGCAATACTGTAACGTGTCGGCGAAGCGCGTGCTCTTGGTTGAAATTACATCAGACAAACATCAACCCCCCAAGTTATGATATACCTATGAAATAACGGTCGACGAATAATGATAATCATATTATAAAACCACACATGACATATTTTTTTTTTTTGGCGAATCGTCGCATTTATTATGTCCTCGTCGCCGCTGGATCCACAACAAATTCTCTTCCGGCAAAACCGAACTTGGCTCTCATGCACACCCTACAAAAATTCGTATGTGTGTATGTGAACCGTGCGTAGGACATGGCCAACGAGTTTTATATTCTAACTGCACTCGAAAATTATTGTTGATTTATATTTTGATATGATAAATTTATTTGGGCGCCATCGTAAACACATAATACACTAAGCTCAATGTATATTACATTAATACACTATTCTACTATTCTTATATGATATATTTTTTCATCATTGTATTTGTGACGTTAGACATATCTAAGTATTAAGTATATAACCTATATAATTTATCAYGGATACGATTTTTTATACTGCATACCTGTACTATATACGTGTTGCTTTATAAAATTATAATTTAAATAGCTAAGTAAGATATTAAAAAAGTAAATTCAGTTCAATAAATATAAAATTGAATCGAGTCCATAACGTTTATTACTATTACAGTGAATTTAAATATTTCCCATAACCAACCAATCGAGGAAATCCGCTCAAAATGTTTGGCATCGTTATTTATTTATATTTTTTTTAATACGTTTAATCAAAAAGAGTATAATATCGTCAAAGATGGTACAGTATTCATTCCTGAGATTATGAAAATATTGTATACATATAATCAATATCAAACGAGCAGCGGCCTACGAGCAAGCTCTACTTGTCATCGATAAATTATGTTTATTTGCAATATAATGCATGGCTGAATATATTATTATAGGTGTCATTGTTATTATTTCCACAATTTCTAGTTATTAAGGCTATTTGCAGTTAATGTTATTTGTATTGAGTTGTTCATATATTTTACTAGKGAGTTTAATGATAAATAATAATTGATAATAAATAATTATTATAATAATAACTATTTGTTGATTATTATATGAAAATTAAATTAATCTCGATAAATTTTACCAATTATTGATATTATTGAAAGTAACTCATAATATAGTACGTACATTCTAAGATAACTAAAATTTAAATTATATGATACCTTAAATTCATAAAAATGTGTACATATTTAAATTCCTTTAATTTTTATACACTCTTAAAATAGAAAACATTTTGTCTATTATTAGATTCTGAACGAAGTAATGAATGAATTGATTTTACAATGATGTGTGTGTGTTTTTTTTGTGTCTCTGTACAGCATAATTAGTCGAAATAATGCTTCAATTTCAAACTTTGGGGGTGGTTTCCAATGTAAAAGTGTATATCTTTGGTGCATTTTATAGAGGTCAAAAGTAAACATTTTCCTACAGTTTTCAAAAAAATCGATTTTTTTATATGGTCGTAATTCGAAAACTAATCACTGTAAATACTTGAAATTTTCACCAAATTTTTATGTTAGTGTTATATATATACAGTTTAATTTTCAAACATTTTTGATTTTTTTTAGTTATTTATAGACCACTGACATTTTGATTTTTTTGAGAATTTTTTTTTGAAATGCCGGTAAAAAAATTTTGGATGACCAAAAAMACTTTAAAGTTTAATACAAGGTTCCTTATGAGTTGTTCTTAT